TAAAAAAAATCGCAAAGTTGAAAAAAACGGTTTTTCTAAAATAACTAAAAAAATATAGCACGGATTGAAAAATTTTAAATGAGAAAGTTGTAGGTTTTAAAAAGATCTATCGACTGATTTTTTGAAAGTATCGATTGCTTTGTTACTTTTCGAGATATATCGAAGAAACCGTTAAAAATCTTCTCTTTTCTCTTCTTCGATAACTCGTTTATATTTACGTGCCCATATTTGCTATTTACTGCAAGCATAGCCCGCGGCAAGCCAAAAAAGTACATTTTTGAAAAATTTAAAAATATTAATTATTTTTCGATATATCGATTTTTTGAAAAAAAAATCGCTCTCGAAAATTGGCTAGATCTTCTCAGCGAATAGCCCTACAGTAACGATTTCCATTTTTATTTTATGAAAATGACTTAAAGAAAGAAACGCCGACATTTTTTCACGAATTAAAAAAAAATGTTTTTGTACGACCTCTTTGTCGTGAGTATACGATACTATAACAGCTGGATCGTTCGTCGGTTGTCTCACCTATGACACACTGATGAGGACTAATAAGCCCGAAACCGGTCTGTGCCTGGTGGGTTAGACTGACGAGCGATCCTAGCTGTTGCATTAGGTGTTGCGAGTGTAATTCAATGCCGGTCAGGGCATATAGCCCGTGGAGTAGTTGTTTCTCGCAACACCGGTTAGAGTTAATATTTTATATTTTCTATTGGATTCTGTACTGTATGGGTGTTATTTGTCTCACACTTACGCCTGTTTTGTTTCTTCGCTGAGTTCGTTTCGTTGTTCCTGCGTGCTGCCGAATTTGTAGTGACCCAGGAGATACGGCCAGATCTCGTGTCTCAGTTCCTGGACTATGCCGCCGAAGTACGTCAGCCTGTAGACCTCCGAATAGTCGGACACCACGCCTTCCACGCACAGCTCGGCCCACCTTTCAATCGTTATTCCTTTGCAAAAAAACCGGTTGAAATATTAAATGGGGTTTAACAATATATGCATAGGTCCAACCAAATTACACTTGGAGGAAAAAAATTGTTGCCTGGACTTTTATAAGTGGAAATGGTAAAAACCTAAAAAAAATAAATGCGTGAGCAGGGACGGCGGAGGGTTGATTTGGGGGGTTGAAAAGTTATGAAAAATTCTTCATTGGGATTTCTGGCGAAAGTTGACGTCAAACAAAAGAGTATCTAATGCAAAAGTTGTAGATAATGCAAAAATCTACAACTTTTGTAGATAAACATATTTTTTTCTGATTTTTAGATTTTTATTTCTCATTTCCGCAAAAATTATATTATTTAATTTTGACGAAACTTGGTGAAAGTATACCTTTCTCTGTCTTAAATAACCTTAAATTTTTTTAGATAAAGAAATCCAGAAGTTTCTGAGATATTCATTTTTTTCGGCCTGAAACACTTTTTTTTCAAAGAAAAATTCTACTTAAAAAAATCATCGTACAGAGTTCTGCCGGTAATAATTTTTTTCGTTTTGACATACTTTTTGGTGAAATAAAAAAATCTGTAATAACATTTCAAAAACATGCTCAAAAATGCGAAAAAAATAAAAAATTACTTGCAACAGTGAATTTTTCAGTTATTGTTGATAATTTGTTTAAATCAAATAACATTTAAAAACTGATTACACCATTCAATTCTACGGAAAAAAATACAAGAAATCTGTGTCTCATTGTTTGACCCAAAACTTTATTTTTGTACAATATTGCCATAAACATCTTAGTCCAATTATAAATGCACAAATGACAAATTATCTAAGGATGATTTGAGATTTCAGCAATACAAAGTGTTAACTGCAAAGTCTACTGTCGACGCGAAATCCGAAAACCAGAAATTTTGCAAACTCGTTTTATTTTTTTTCTGGCTTTATTTCAAAACGAATTTTAAATAAATTGCATAGTTACATTGCCACTTTTTTTCGCTCTATCCAATGGCGTCAACATTTTTGCAATCCGACGTTTCGTCTTCGACAGGTCATCATCAAATTAATTTTTTTAAATATATTGCTGCTATATATGACAAAATCTAGTAATTTTTAATTCTGTATTAAATGATATTACTATTGTAATCGCTTAAAAAGGTTTTTAGCTATCATTAAAAATTTTTCCTGAGTACGGCTCTGAACGTTTTAAAAATACCCGTATCTATTGGAGGAGAGAGAGAGGAGAGAGAGAGGAGAGAATAAAAGTCAATACAGCACAAAATATCTAACATTTTTTTTAATCCATAATTTAAAAAGTGATGAATGAAAAAATAATACGAATTTATGAAATATTTTATTATTTCTAGTTAGTATTGCTAACGATAGTAAAAAATTGTTGGATATTTTGTGCGGTATTCACTTTTATACTGTTATGACTTCATCCAACAGATATTTTGAAAGCGTTCATAAAAGAACTTGGGAAAAATTTTAAATTATAGCTAAAACAAGCTAAAAACTTTTTAAGCGATTATTTTAAAATTCGTTTTCAAACAAAGCCAGAAAAAATTAAACAATTTAGCAAAATTCCGGATATTTCCAGAACTACCCGGAATTTTAAAACTTTCTAAACAGCATATTGTTAGGTATAAAAAGACACAACTTTTTTCTATTCTGAGCCACCCCGTATCTCTTACCGTTTCCTAGATCCTAATGCTGTCCCATCCTTATCTTGGACACACTGAATATCTATGAATTCATCAAACTTTAAAAAAAATAAGTACACTAATCGATCCTACGGCAAAAAAATTATTATTTATTTTATTTATTCACTATTCGACTTATGTTTATATCAATACTGTATAAAAATTGTTTTGGGTCAAACAATGGGACAATTTTTTTGTATTTTTTCCGTACAATTGAATGGTGCAATCAGTTTTTGACTTTTTTAAAATTTAAACAAATTATCAACAATTACTGAAAAATTCATTGCTGCAAGTAATTTTTTAATTTTTTGCATTTTTGAGCATGTTTTTGAACTGTGATTACAAATTTTTTTATTTCACCAAAATGTATATGTCAAAACGAAAAAAATTATTACCGGCATAACTCTGTACGATGATTTTTTTTAAGTAGAATTTTTCTTGGAAAAGGCCGAAAAAAATGAATATCAGAAACTTCTTTATTTTTTTATTTAAAAAAATTTGAGGTTATTTAATACAGAGAAAGGTATACTTTCAACAAGTTTCGTCAAAATGAAATAAATTTTGCGGAAATGAGAAATAAAAAACGAAAAATCAGAAAGAAAAACTGTTTTTCGCATTTATCTCGGAAATTTTGAGGTTATGTTAAAAAGTGACCTCTACAAAAGTTGTAGATTTTTGCATGATCTACAACTTTTGCATTAGATACTTTTTTGTTTGACGTCAATTTTCGCCAGAAATCCCAATGATACAATTTTTCATAACTTTCCAACCCCCCAAATCAACCCTCCGCCGCCCCTGCTCAGGCATTTATTTTTTATTTTCTCTTTTCCCTAACCTAACCTATTTAAACCTAACCTTAAAATTGCACCACTTTGGTAATAATAAGAGTTATCACTCTGCAAATCAGCAGAAATGACTTTTTGTCAAGTAACGCTTATTAACTTCAGCGCAAACGGGCACAAACTGCAGTTAAAAGCGGTATTTGCAAAAAGCACGATAATACCTTCACTTGCCCCCTCCCCGGACACGATCTTGCCGTTAACCAGCCCGCTGAGGTGCGTCCTCACCGTCGACAAGTGCCTGCAGTAAGCCAGCCACCCGTAGAAGGCCCTGGAGATGATCTGGCGTTTCATCGAATCGCACACGGCCTTGATGCAAACGCTCGGCGGGCTATCGGGGACGTTCTGGTCTATGCTGAAGCTCTTGGTGGAGCTGTCGGAGCTCGTGCTGGTGCTGCAGAGCTGCACCCTCACTTTGGTGGGCAAGGCGGCGTGCGTGTCCATGAGTTCGTTGCGTTTCACTGCAAGAAAGAACTGGATTAGAGCGACGTCGCGAGATTGGAACGCCCAAGTTGCCGCTTACGGATCTCCTTGCGATCGCTGTTGTCTATGATCCTGAACACGTAGTCTTTCGTCGTTTCTTCGGTCTCCGAGAGCGCAGGTAAGGGCCTCCTGCGCCTGGTGCAGTTCTTGCCCGACCTGTGCGACCATAGGGGAGGGTCCAAGCGACCCCTGGGCAACAGCCCAGTTTCGATGCAACTTAAGAACGCGAGCATGTGTCCTCCTACGAAGAAAAATATAAAAAAATGCAAATATATATATAGGGTGTTTTTGAATGGAGTAGCATAAATGATACCAGTGAATCTACATTTCAAAAGAACACGATCTGCAAAAAATCGCCTTAGTAAAATGTTCACCCCTGAAGAGATACGGGCCATCAGTTTCCAAAAAAATTATGAAAATTGGCTGTAATTTGAAAACCGAACGAGGTACAGATAACAAATTTTTTACAGGTTGCTTACTAATACAGATACGAGTTTTCAACTATTTTTCGAAAATTTTAACCCCTCGAAAGGGGTTGAAATTACCACCGCCCTCAAGCCATTTTTTGCCATAACTTTTATATTTCGTAAAAACTCGATATCCACAAATACGCATTAGATAATCTGGTTCTTTTAGAAACTTTTACCTCCCTAGCAATTTTCCTTTAAAGCTTTTCGTTTATTAATAAAAAAATAAAATGTATTACCTTTCATCTCACACCGTATATGATTGCAATCAATCAAAGAAAAACTAAGTGTGCTGCTGTCATGCCAGTTGTCACAATTAACTCTTCTGTAAGTTGTCACTGTTATCAGCTAAATACTTTTTGGGTGTAAATTAACAAGAATTATGCCAAATTTTACTAATGATGAATATGTGGACATGCTACAAGTGT